ATGTTTCTATAGTTTTCATTCTAGAATGACTTTTTTCCGTTAGCGAGAACATTTTTTTTTTTCACTGAACGTTGTTCCGGAGCAAATCTTTCCTTGCAAGACTAGAGTATCCTGGCTATGTAGTCTCCGAAAGGTCTTGAGAACCTGGATTTTGATTATCTGGAATCCAGCGCTGAGAAGAGTATGGATTACTCACATTTCTCAATTTGCCAAGTTCTTCGTTCTGTTTCGAAATGACTGCTAGACTCCAGCTGGTAGTTACTGTGCCTAAACATTTGGTAGCGAGAATGAAGTGGGTGAATGTTTAAAATGCCAGCATAGATATACTGGAGAAATAGTTAATGATGGTGGTTAAAGTCACATAGCACTAGTCAAGGCTCAACATTTTGTTTAGGATTAGAAACACATCATTATAATTCGGTGGGCATAATAATAAGTTGTTTATGTTTGCGTAGCGCTGCTTGTGTCTACATCTGCCACACAGCCTGTGCTGAATTTGGAGATCTGGATCTAGCAATGACTCAACTGGTGACAGTCTTACGCAGGAGAGAACACACGTGATAGCATGAGACACCTGCTGAGCGGTGGGCTCTGGTGATTCGCTGCAGAGGATGCCGCAAAGATCGTGATGGGTCGCGCAGTTATGTGAACGTGCTGGGGTTTCCTTTGCTTGTGGTTGACAGAAGGAGCTGGCGCAGGGGGGGACTTCCCTCCTAGAGGTGCAAGAAGAAAACTGCTCAGGCAGGCTGGGTCACTGGAAAGTAAGGGGTGGCCAAAAGAGTTTATACCTTTGGTTTTCATTATAATGAAATTTGCAGTTTGTAGGACCTTATGACTGTGTCTGCGGCTGAGCTGTGGTAGTTTGAATGTATCTGACTTCTGATGAAAAAAATGACAGTGCCCTTGAAAGGGTTGTAGTTTGGTATGAAAAGGAGATGAACGGGACAGATGGTATTTTGGGAAAGGAAATAATCTCAACCTATCTCTATTCTTTATTTTTACCCTGGGATAAAATATTCTGTTACATTAGATGCCTCTGGCTTTTGGTTATCATGCAGGAAAAGAGAAGCCCTGAGGTGTCTGAAATAACCAATATTAAGGGCACTAAAGAAAATGGTGTTTGGAAGGCTTGGAAAAAATTATAATTCATAAATAAAACACAAAATATATGGGGCTGAAATTGTGATGTAGTTGGTTAATAATTTATGTCATGAACTGTAGGTATTTCTGAAAGACTTGAGTGGGGCCAGTGCCGATACTGTTGGTCAGCGATGTAAAACCCTGCGCCAAATGTAGTGAGGTTTGCAGAAGTACCCATACATTTTATCTTAAACTCGTCAGGCCTTTTGTAATCTAAGATCTTTCAAAGTTGTGGGGGAGAAATTTGATAGACTTCAAGATGGTAAAAGCTGATGTGCAAAAACGAGGGTTTTCTTATAGAATTGAAATTCACCAGCTTGTTATTGCTTGAAAAATATTTACAAGCTCCTCCAGATATATTCACATTTAATAAGCTTCATGTTACATGTGTTTGATGACTGAAGTGTGGATTTGGTGGTAGCAGCAGTACCGCCTGCCAGAACCTCTTCCCCTTCCATTTTGCTGTACACCGACTTTCGGGAGTGCAAGAGGGGAGAGTGGGAAAAGAGATTCCTTGGAAAATTGTTCTTGGTAGAGCTGGCACAGAGCTAAAGAGCTGGCTGCTCTGTGCAGGCGTGTTGTCCTCAGCAGCTTAAGACTGTACCATGAGCAGATGTGGTACCAAAATACAGTGTGCAACAGGATTTTTAAAACAAAATTAACTTAATGGTACTTCAAAGATACTGAGAAAGTTTCCCATTGAAAATTCACTGCTACTTCTTTTTAATGGGAATAGAGTTTGTTTTTTTTTAAGTACCTTCGTTCTCAGTAACATACTCACTTGGGGCTTCGGCATCAGTAACACTTGTTACACTAGTCTGTATTTTCAGCAGTTCACTTAGATTTTATATTTTGACATTTTATAGCTTATAGAGCATCCTGAAGAAATGAACCAGATTTTCACAGTTTTGCATGCTGGCTCATGGAAAGTTCCGATTTCCAGTTCTTTGTGAGTCCTTTTTTTTTTTTTCCCCCGTATCCAAATGTGATTAGGTGGTTGAAAAAAAGTTAATTTTTTTTATTACTCTTTTCATGGCTCCAAGTCATCAAGAGTTTATAAATTTTGAATGGAAAGTCTCTGAATTAAATTAGTTCTGAAATGTGAACTGAAAAAAGATTTTATTGCATCACATATAGAAATTTATAATAAGGCACCTTTTTTCTGACCTTGAATAATTCTTTAGTATTGTGCAATGAGATCTTTTCCCTCGAGCCATTAAGATGATTGTGCCAAATTTGGGGAAGTTCTGTGGACTTATTATTATTTTTCTTTTTCTAATGCTAACATTCATTTGCCCTCTCAAAAGCAAATTAAGATATTAAATGCAAGTTTAACCAGTTTGATACGAGTGAAGATAATGGTGGCTGCTGTTAGCTCACATCTGCCGAGGGTGCCATGGGCAGGGCTGGTTCCTGGAAGGGCACCAGCGTTGGGTCACGGCGCTGGGGCTCGCTCCCTGGCACCTGGGATGCGTGACCTTCCCAAACCCTCCTGAAACAACCTTCCTTATGTCTGTATTTCTGCCGCTTCCTCCAAGTATTTTGCCTTGCTGGGGTTTCCCCTCATTGGGCACGGCGTGCGTCGCAGCCCAGCGTAGCAAAGGGCTGCAGAGCCTTCCCCTCACCGGGAGCAGAGCTGTGGCCGCTCCGGGGCGGGAGCTGCTTTGCTGTGGGGAGGAAGTCCGGGTTTTTCAGGCACGGCAGCGGGTGCTTTCAGGAACCTCCATTTCTAGAAAGCCATTTCCGTGCTTGTTAGTTTAGGCTTTTTTTGTGGTCGGGAGCAGTCTTGACGCTTAACTGGTGGGATGTTTGCGTTCTGCACATATGGTGCATCTTGAGCACACGCTGTATTGAGTCAATGGTTGTTACTGTGGTGGTAAGTGCAGTTTCTTGTACCTGGCTCTATTTGCACATGCTGTAAGGCTGCTCTGAGCTTCCTTGGACTTTCAGGAAGAGCAGTGTGGGCAGGACTGGAACTTCAAATGGTCAGAAAGCACTTCCCAAGACAATTTTCTTGACTCCGATACTGTATCTTGGTGCTGGGGCCCTGATTTCATGAGGGGCATAGTTTTTCCTTAATAGAGAATTAAAGATTCTTAAAACATACCTTTTCCTTTAATTAAACTGCTTTTCAAATTTGTACAATACTGTGAACAGTTTGTGCTGCAAAAACTAATATTTTTGACTAAGACATCTATAGGATCTTATTTTGGTATTGCTCAGGGACTTGTTCTTGCTGGGAGGGAATGAAGTAGAAAGTGTCCTAATTTGGATTTATTTGATCGATACAAGTCCAGAACATCGTATTGTTTTTGTAGTAAGGCTTTTATAACAAAAAATATCTTATAAAATTTTATTTCCTGTTGTGTACTAGTTCTTTCTTGTTCTGTAATTGTATCTTCATGATAGTATTTGTCAACGCCAAACTATATTATGTTGTTAACACTTGTGATCAACTTGTTGTCTATAATACAGCTTTAAAAAATTAACTTCCCTGATTTTTCCATCACGAAGTGCCATTCCTTTTTTTTTTTTTTCAGGTTAGCCAGAGTGGTGAAATGCAGGCTTTGGGCAGGTTTAGGCTTGGTCCATTCCAGTTTCTAATATCCAGTTTCTTCCTTGCCTGTGGAACTTGGCAGTCTAGCTCGCAGGTTCCTGGCGCACATGTTGGGCAGGGTCTGGCCTTGGAAGCATGTGGGAAGACTGGCCACATACAGAAATGGCAATAAAACAGGCCTGGATGGTGCTTTGCTTCTTCAGTACTTCTGTAGCTTTGAAAGCTCAAGTGGAAAGGACACCTGAGTACAAGCAGGTCTTTTGCAAAGTCTGTAGGCCGCCTAATTTAACTGCTGTGTGGCTCTGGGAGGTGTAGCTGGATAAGCCGAGTGTCGCCCAGCTCGTCAGGCTGCCCGGGGAACTGGTCTGAGCCCGGGATTTCCAGCCGTTCTCTCTGCAGCTCGCTGGGGATCCATGCATTGTGGTGGATAGTTACAAGCAAGGTGAAGCACACGCAGACTTGCTTTTCCTACCAAAATGTGTATTTGCAGGCTTTGAGGGGAAGTGTTTGTAGACTTTTACCTATGAATGTGTGTACAATTTTCAAGCTCTTTCCAAGCAAGTGGCGAGATCAGCAGGGCTGATACTCGGCTCTCCATAGCTTGTTCTCTTAGCCCGTGGTACAGTAGTGTGTCGTCATGATGTTGTATGGTTTGGTTTGCAAAGAAGAAAAATGGTATTTCTAGTCAAGAAAGCTCAAGATGGAAGTGAGAGGTGAAGCTGGACCTAAGACCCCCATAAAACCAGTGACTGAATACAGTCCTACACATGGGAACTCAGAGCTGGGGAGAGAGGCTTTTGCAGAAGAATTTGGAATTGCCTATGATTAGGTTGAGTATCAAAGGAAAAGTTTATCAAGCTTTTAAGATGAGTTGTTTTACGTGTTTGATTCTCTTCGTTCCTTCCCTTGGTGCCCTGCCAGTGCATGTCTTGCTGAAGCATGTGCAGTGTGCTGCCTGAGGTATCCAATCCAAGTATGAGTAAGTTGTGGGTGAAGTGATGATAAATATGGGAAGCTCGCCTATTGCCTAATATTCCCATGTCGAATATAAAAGAAGATTAAGGATGAGATTTATTCTGAGAGCTGTTACATCATCAAAAGATACAGAAGTAGGGTACTTGCAAAGAAGCACATCAGGTGGTTGAGAAGTGTATTGTGCAATGGAATCCACTTCTGGGTAGCATTTTACCTTCTGGTAGCATTCCTTTGTCTAACAAGGTAGCGTTTACTTTTTCAAGATTGAGTTTTTTTTAGTTGTGTTTTTGGTGTATTGTTACTCATCTTCCCTGCACGTTCCAATAAGCAACTTCTGCTTCAGGGTAACTATCAGGATTTCTTCACTTGTTAAACTCCATGCTGTGTGTCTGGCATTCTGTGCAGCAGAATTGGTACTCTGAGTGTCAGGTACCTACAGTTTGCAATGCTACCATTTGCATCTAATTTCTTTTGAAGTTTCTTTGCAAATGAAGAAATACTGCATGCAAAAGAAAACAAATGTGGTTGCATGTGGTATCTGCTGTGTACTCATTTTTTTTCTCTCCTTTATTACAGAAATGAGCCGTCAGACTGCTACAGCACTACCGACAGGTACTTCCAAGTGTACGCCATCCCAGAGGGTGCCTGCGCTGACTGGCACGACTGCCTCCAATAATGACTTGGCTAGTCTTTTTGAGTGTCCTGTGTGTTTTGACTATGTGCTGCCACCCATTCTTCAGTGTCAGAGTGGCCACCTCGTTTGCAGCAACTGTCGCCCCAAACTTACGTGCTGTCCAACTTGCCGAGGTCCCCTGGGCTCCATTCGCAACTTGGCTATGGAAAAAGTGGCCAATTCTGTACTATTCCCATGTAAATATGCCTCTTCTGGATGTGAAATAACTCTGCCACACACAGAAAAAGCAGACCACGAGGAGCTGTGTGAGTTTAGGCCTTATTCATGTCCATGTCCTGGTGCTTCATGTAAGTGGCAAGGTTCTCTGGATGCCGTGATGCCCCACCTGATGCATCAGCACAAGTCAATTACCACACTTCAGGGAGAAGATATAGTGTTCCTTGCTACAGACATTAATCTTCCTGGTGCTGTTGACTGGGTTATGATGCAGTCTTGTTTTGGCTTTCATTTCATGTTAGTGTTGGAGAAACAGGAAAAATATGATGGTCACCAGCAGTTCTTTGCAATTGTACAGCTGATAGGAACACGCAAGCAAGCAGAAAACTTTGCTTATCGACTTGAGTTAAATGGCCATAGGCGGCGATTGACTTGGGAAGCAACTCCGCGCTCTATCCATGAGGGAATTGCAACAGCCATTATGAATAGTGACTGTCTAGTCTTTGACACCAGCATTGCACAGCTCTTTGCAGAAAATGGCAATTTAGGCATCAATGTAACTATATCAATGTGTTGAAATGGCAATCAAACCTCTTCAGGCCAGTGTTTAAAACCATTGCATTTAATTTAGCAGAAACTTGGGTAACCATCTTTGACTGTCAGACAAATTATTTGGTAGACGGAGGATAGACGTATATGAAGGTAAATAAAAGGAAAGGCTGTTAAATCGCAGGAAGCAGTTGCATGTAGTAACACTAATATATTTAAAATAAGTCAACAGTAAACCACTGAAATATATATACACCCAAAATGGGCATCTTTTGTATTAAGAATTGATTCTACGGGAAATGTTGTAAAATAATTCTAAAAACTTGTTTGTAGATTGATTGTACTGTTGAAAAGGATACTGTTTCGTGTTTTTGTTTGTGTTTTTTTCCTCCCCCTTTGACTGACAAGCCATGTTGAGCGGTCTGATCTCTGGCCGCTGCTTTTTCCCCCACCTTTGTAAGTCACTACATAGTATTGCTGCTGTTTGTGTATATTTTTGTGTATTTGCTAATTTTTATTAACTTCTAGTTTTTCATTAAATAAATATGACTTTCTTTTCTGTAATTCAGGTTTTCTCTTTTTTGTATCTTTTTAAAATTAATTACAGGTGTCATCTTTTGATATGCATTATTGCTATGGTAAAACTTATATTTCTGTATGTTTGGTAAATTTTGTCTCTTTCCAGTAGTCAATTCATTGGTGATACTGTTCTTAATTGAGCTATTTTGTGAATGTATTGAACTTGAAAGGAGCAATTATGTTCAAAGCTGTGTTGGGAAAGAAGGCTCCTTTAAAAACAGTTTAGATGTTGTTGTACTTTGAGTTATATCTTCTAAAAAAATGAAGAATTGTTGAGATCTTTTCCAAATTAAAAAACAAATTCACATTTCAAATTTAGAGATGCTTAGAAATTCGGTTGCATCCTTGTATTTGTTGTTTTTTCAGTACAAAGAAGGTATTGTATTACACAGTATTTGTAACTATAAAAACAGAGCATTTGTTTAAAAAGAAAAAAAGAAAAAGAAAAGGCAGTCACAATGAAATGTTGCAAGTCTTTTTATATTTGTCATTAAAAGAATACCTGGCAAATTTAAAAAAGAATTTTGTTTTTCGCTTTAGCTCAAAGTTTGACACATTAATACTATTGCTCAGTTTCTTGTCCTCATGTCTTTTGGTTGTTACTAACAAAAGTAATTTTCTTGAACTGATCTTGTATATCATTGTAGTGATATGATATACAGTAAAATGCAAATAATTTCTTACAGGTATAAGTCACCAGCCATACAGGCTTTTTGTAGGATATTGGGCTTTATGCAGGTTGCCTATATGTGAAAAGTTTACCATGAATGTATATGGTATGTGTGTTATAAAACATGGAGGCAGAAAAAGGAGTAAGTTGAAAAAAATGTTAAATCTCACGCTATTTGAAAGAAATCTTTGTCGAACCTAGTAATTATGGACATCTGTTTGGAGAGGTAGTCTGGCTATTAACTACTTTTGTAACACATTAAAATACAGTTTATTTACTGTGCACTGTCTTTAAATTTCTTATCAGAAATCAATCTATTAAGACAACTCTTGTTTGAATTATTTTGATGCAGGATGAGGTAAGTAGTTTTCCAGGTAAGGAAAATGAAAAAGGGCAGCGGGGATGCATAAAATAGCATAGAACCAGGTGGCTTTGTTTAGTAGAATTGGGAAGTTTTGGGATTTAGAAGTTGATACAGATTTCATCTACAAAACGTACTGGTGTCTTGTGAAAGCAGGTGGTAGATGCTTCACAGGAGTCTGCAATCCAGCATTATTTTCCTCATTAACATACAATAATTGTTTGCCAGTCTTCTGAATCCCACAGTTACTCTCACTTGAATATGCTTGCGTACCTTCCTTCAGTTTTATCTTTTGCCTGTTGACAGAAACTTGGCCAAATGTTACATTATTTTTATATACAGATATGCACCCTCTCACGTGCTCTTTTGTGAGTGGCTGGCTGGCACTGATGTTGGCTCCTATCTGCCAACGTGATCTGATTTTAACACTCAAGTTTTGTTAAGAAATCCTAGCTAAGTACCTGCTAGGACGGCCCTGAGCGGGCTCGTACTTAACACCCAAGTGTAACAGGGCCATGGAGGCACAGGGTTCACTTAGGAGTGTTCAGTGGTGCTGCTTATACTTTAAATGGCTCCGTGTCTGTCACCGGCCCCAAAAGAAACCATGGCTTTTAAATTCTTAAACCACTAACTTGCAGGATTTAATTTAGGCCAGAAGGAGCTAGTTCTCAAGAGTGTATTATTGAAGCAGACCTTAAAAATTGTGGTGGTAGTAATTTTTAGAAGCTACTGGCATAGTCAGGTTGTTTTTCATTGTGTTTTATAGGTGAGAAATACTATAGCATAACTAATGTGTGCTGAACTATTACATTGTAAACTAGTATTACTCTATTTGATATAAAAATCTGTATAAAATATTTGATGTCCACTTGTAGATGGAACAATTAAACACATAAGTGTTTATTAGGCCCTAATCCTCAAAAGTATTAGAAGTAAAATTCACTAGACCTCCTCTAAGTAGTTTGAGGATCTGGTAAGTAAACAGCATTCTGTTATATTAGAAAAAAAAAAAAAAAAAAAAAAGTAATAAACTGTACTTTTTTTTTCCTTTATCTAAAAATAAATAGTGTATTGAAGCCTGGCACTGTCTTAGCATTAGCTCTTTATTTTATGAAGTATTATCTCTGTGTAAATGGGAATTGGAACTGTAAAGACTCAGATTTGTCTTTAAATGAAATGCAGCAGAGCTTCCCTTTGTCCCAATAAATTTTAGTGCTGTTGCCATTGCTTTCTCCTTGCCTTTAAAGAAAAAAAACTTTGATAAAGTTGGATGTGAATTTGGGGTTTTGTCTTGACATATCTTGCTAGTTCTTGTTTACAGTATTGCTTCAAAATTAAAGTAGGTTAACATTTTTCGTATTGTTGCCTATGCCATTGTATTACTTATTGCTGTTTCTTTTCAAATCTACTATGATTAAGAGTATGAATATCACTGGCCAGCTAGTTCTGTTTGTAACTCTTTACCGTTTGTGTAGAGGAAAGGCAATACCATTGGATTCTTGAGCTTTGTTATTGTAGGTAAATGTTATGAGAGGCACAGGAGACACACTTGTGTTTAATGGCAGCTTCACTTACGGACCCTGCCAGTGAACTGGAATTACTTCAGAAGCTCTCAGCTGTTCTAGCTTGCTCAGGCACTTGATTTTTACTTTTGCCTGCATTCAGTAAAAGGATAAGGTATAATAACAGGACTAATTCAACTCTGTAAGAACACAAAAACCTGTAAATCTGTGTAAGGCTACTTGAGTGGCACAAAGTAGTTTACATTTCAGTCCACAGAGGCAAGACATACAGCTAGGAATGGTGTGGCAGGGGAACAGCTGTTCTTTGACTCTTAGATTAGAAGCAGCTCCCTGGTTCATCTGAAGTAAAATTGTTGTAGATTTATTTATTTATTTTCTCCAGTACTTGGCATCTTTAAAAAGAGAGGGCTTTGCTACATGTCTGAGCAGACTGCGCTGGGATCCCCTGCGTGTCTGTCTGGGCTCTGTCACAGCGCACAAGATTGGTACTTGAGCTCCAGTAAGTTGGGTAAGAACTGAATGTTTTTTCCTGCTGGTTTAGATTAAAGGCAATCAGCATATTGGCTATCATATCTTTCTGGTGGCTTACAGATTGTCAAGTTTCTTTGTTCTTTTTGTATTTGAGTAAGAAAATATTCTGGGACTCACTGCATTGCATCCTGATTATTCACTAGCTAAGGTCTGGACTACGTTATTGGTAAGAGTAGAATTGTTAAAATAATTAAACCAAAATATTTATATTTTTCACTTTATTAGATTTCATCTAATAGTCTTCTGTGAATGCTTTAAAAGCTTTTATAAATTGGGTACAGAAATAACCATTCTTGTATCATTCATAACAGTATTACTATATTCCAAGAAAATTCTTTTTCTTTGTATACATAAATTAAAGCAAACAATTTTAATTTACAGGCTGCTTATACATAGTTCTTTTTCACTGATGCAATTTGTGTTTTATAAACTCACCTCCATTTGTTTTGAATTAATGAGCAATAGACTAGCAAGCTGGTTCTTTTTTTTTGCAGTTGACTCTAGTACAAAGCAAAGAAAAACTTAAGCACCTTAGATTACAGAAATTTAAATTTCTATCTTCACTAACATCTAGGGAAAATGAGGATAGCTTTGTCTCTAAGATAGCCATCTTGAGATGGGATACTGACAGACTTTCTTAAACCTTAAATAATTCACAGCTCCTAATTCAGTATTAATGATCCACTTTTCTTAGCACTGTTAATTAAATAAACCAATTTAATTTTTAGAGGCAAAACTTGAAGCATAAACATCCCAGAATCACCAGTGTTCCCAGTTTAGGGTCAGGTAATATTTAAGAAGGACAATATACTCTGTCCCTCCAAAACATTATCAGGCTCAATCTTTTTCATTAAGTTTTCAGCTAGGCTCAACCTACTTCAGTACTGTAAGTACAACTTCGCGTATATAAACTTTAATGCACTCCTTTCTTAACCAAGAACTAGTACATTTAAATTCCTCCTTAGTTGTTTCCTGTATGTAAGTGTGAAAAATGACATCTACATTGGCATTACGAAAATAGAGTTACTGTGAGGTGCCAAAAGGGCTTGATGATTCAGACAAAATTGCTTCTGTTTAAAACCTTTAAGCAATTTTTACATCTCCAAAATTTGCATTTTTTCTATGATGCTATTTACTATATTACTTGTCTGTATTTAGGAAATTAATAATTTTACTCTTTTTGCACTAAGTTAGTTGGCTTTTGGAATAACCTCCTCACTAGCTTCACTTGCTGCAGGGGTGCTTCTGTCTGAACACCCCATAGAATTTTGTTACCTCCTATTTGTGGGTTTGTTCTCTTTAAAGATGTTACCACCAATTGACATTTATATAAAATTATACCAAATAAACTAAGGAATACGATTTTTCTCGTAGCTTCAGCTCTCATGTTTGAACCCCTCAGTATGAAGCTCTCAATATCAATAAATTAGTTTTTTTTTTCCATGTTTTTTTGCCAACAGTAGTAAAAAGCAGGAAACCTCCATAAAATATTGTTACAGAATGTTAACTGCTGAAGTAATAGTTTTAATTGCATTCACATCTGCATTTAAATAAATCATCTAAATTTGATAGTTACAGTTGCTATATGGTTGCTAATTATTGATCAGTATTAAATTTGATGCAAAAATAATCTTAGCCTGTCTACTTAAAGTTTACTATTCAAATGCTCAACAATGGGCTTAACTGAAAATCCTCCATCAAAGGCTGCATTAAGAACTTCATCCAGACAGCTTGCCATAACAAAAGTCAAGTCTTGCCGCACATTCACTGCAATTTCTTCAAGATCTTTTTCATTTCTTTGAGGAATAATAATTCTCTTCAGTCCAGCTCTGTGTGCAGCCAGGACTTTGTCTTTAATTCCCCCAACCTAATAAAAAGGAAAAAAAAAACATAACGAAATAATACTAATCTAATAATTATTGCAGTAAATTTAGAAATCACACCAGGAGTTTTTAATGTTAATAAAAAGTTTTCCCTCAATCATTTAGATTATTTAAACTGCATCAATAGTTCTACCTCATAATATACTTAAGAGAAATAGAGTGGTAAGGTGCTACAGTAGCCTTTCAGTAACAGTTAATGGAAAAAAAAACAGCCTTCTGGATTAAAAATTAATCTAGGAATGCAAATGCAAGAGTATCAACCATGGAAAAAATTACTTGCAGGAAAAGAACAAATTCTAAAGAAAGACTGCTTTAACACTTACTTCTTTTTACTATGGCACACTGACATCTTGCAACTGCATTATAAGAGGCCTTCAAGATAAAGGCATTGCTAGGTGCTGCTGTCAGTCCAACCTGATAAAAACTTTAACTGTACAAGGGAAAACACACAGAAAAACAAGTGTGTACCCCAAAACTGCCACACTGGCTTTGGTCTAGGAAAACAGGCTTCCTTTCAGAAAGCCACCTGCTTGAGTTTGTAAGTCCTTCAGAGAGGACTTGAAAATAGTTTTTGTTCTAGTCACAGCTTCTGCCCTTCATCTTTTTTTCTAAACCTATTTAAAGACTATGTTAGAGAAAAACTTGCAATTTTAAAATGTTTTAGCGTCAGACCTAAGTTTTAATAGCCAAAAATGAAAACTTTACACTTCTGTAAAACATAGTGAATCACAAATGCTCATGGTTCTGAGTCTACTCTGGACACTGCTGCATCCTGTTACCTTGCTTGTCTTCAGGTATCTGCTAGTCTCCTTATATGCATCAAAACTAAGTTACTAATAACAGTAAGGTTTTAGACAACAATCAGAAATAAGGGCTAGATCATTTATAAAATCTGATTCAGGATTTACAGATCCCTAATTTCTGCACCTATCTTAAAACATATGCAAAATTTAGTCATTCTTGGAATAAAGGCACTTGATTTGGGAAGCTAAGCACTTAGACCATGTCACAGTGAACAGTGGGTTCACGTTTCACTCCAGTTTTTAACAGTGGGGAGCCTTGACACACCAACCGCCACCTGACTGTTCTTTTGGAGAGCCTTCTAGTCCACACTAGTTAACTCCCACATCTGCTTAATCAGCAATGTCAGGCTCCATTTGCTGCTAATGTTTTTCAAGCAGAGTTTGGGTCTTTTCTTTTGCCATCATTGTAAGGAAAATCTTTATAGGAACTTTAATTCATCTGAACTGCATATATTGAACAGTATCTAGAAACCCCTATATAAAAATGTCAAACATGACAATTTCAGGAGTAATTTTATAAAATTACTATAAAAGTTCTTAGTAAAATAGGATCTCTAGTTTCACTGTAAAGTTTTCTAGTAGTTTGAGAAAATAAATTTGAAGTTGCAATACATATGTGGAACTGTTTTGAATATTCAGATCTCTAGGTCTGCTTTTCCCATTAGGCATTTTAATATGCTTGCCCTGAAGGCAGCATGGCAAGCCCCTGGGCATGACCAGCAAGGCTCTGCTTTTGTAAGGAGGTGTGAACAGTTTTTAAACCTAGAAGAATTAATACAACTTAGCTCTTTTCTCAAATGCTACTTACTGGAAGAACAAGGCCTCTTAGTGTAATTTCTCCTGTCATGGCTACATCGGAACACACCAGCCGCCCACTGAAGAGTGAAGCAAGGCAGGTTACTATGGTAACACCAGCAGATGGTCCATCTTTTGTGACAGCTCCAGCTGGGAAGTGCAGATGGATGTCAGTGTTGTCAAGGAGATCAAAACTTCCAGAAGCTTAAAGAAAAAAGAATGGTTTGGATGTGAAAAATCTGAACCTGTTTTGTTTTCCTGGCCTTTATTCTAAAAGGGCACCAGAGAACTACAAGTCTGAGCGCCGTTTTTAATGCCATGCTGAAAAAGCATCATTGTACTCTTAAAAAAAAAACAACCTCCCTACCCCAAAACCAACAACCTTGCTTAAATTCATTCCCAGACAAAACCCTAACACATTAACCCATCTGCTGGTGTTGGGAAATTCAATAGAGGGATTAAATATAGGAATTCCTTGATCTCTATATTAATTTTTGTTTTTATTATGTCCCAAACATTAAATGTCAGCTTTAAGATGTCAACAGCAGGAAAGCAGTGCTATATTTATTTAAAAGGTAGTATCTTCCTGTTATCTGTGTGACATTGCTATATATATATACACACATGCATACACACACACACTTACCTTTCTGGTTTAAAATACTGCTGACATCAGTATCTCTTATGCATTCATTCAGTCCTTTAGTTTAATAAACTAATCTAAACTACCCTAGGTAATTTAGTAATAACAAATGCTCAACAAATTAGGCTATCAGTTTGGCTATTGACCAAATTACAAAGCAGCCTTTGGGACTCTGGAGTGGTTTAGCCAAGTAATCACTGATGGCTGAAGAAGTCTTACTGTGTTGATATTTCTACCATGAACAAGCCTAACTGCTCATGTTATTCTGCAATGCCACAATCTGTGATGGAAGAATATGAGGCATTAGGACACGTTAACCCTAAGCAATATTAACGCTTCCTTCACATGCATCTTTGCCATGATGCAAGCAGGGGTGCCGGGGAGCAGCACAGAGCACGCAGTGCGGGTCGCACCGTTGGTCAGCTGGTATCTCTTGGCGTTGCTGCGCAGCCAGCTGATGGCCAGATGCGCCGACTCCTTCATGACGTCCCCGAGCTGGCCCGTGAGCGTGAGCTGCCCCTCCCCGTCCATGCGACTGGCTTCCACGAACATGATCTCCCCACCCAGCGGGGTCCAGGCCAAGCCTATGGCCACCCCGGGCTGACTCAGCCGTTCCGACACCTGAAGGAAGAGAAAACGTGTTGGGCAACAATCATAGCTTAAACCACTGCAAAACACTTTGATAGTCGCCTTCTAAACAACCGTATTGATTAAAACCTCAAAGATTAATACATTACTGCTGGGTTAAATGCAATCATATACTATATATATTTAATCCAATAATTTAATCATTTTTCTCTGCTGTCCACTCGCCACGATGTTTGCTTTTTGGGCTCCAAATCCTGTCAGTGATTCTCTCATCTAGGAGAGATGAATCTTCAAAGAAAATTCCTTAAAGGTGTGAATTTCATCCTCTTAGTAGTTTTCCCTTCCCTTCTGTTTTCTATGCAACTTCATGGTTTAGTTATCTTTTTTTTTTCCAGAACAAAGACAGCACAACCTGGCATTCCAGCAGAGCTTTACAGGGTGCACTGCTTTACAGATACACACTGCTTATACTCTGTCAGTTCAGCTGGACCTAAAGCAAAGCACTGCAAAGGGTAAAAAGAGAATCCCAAAGTAATAACGGCATTCACGGATGGCATTTTCATTAAATGCAACAAAATACAAAAGCGAGAAAGAAACTCAAGGTTCTAGAAATAATCCTACCAAGGAGCAGAGCTGCCTGATCACCACACCTTTTTTTTTTTTTTTTTTTTTTTTTAAGTCCAGAGTTGCATTAATTTAAAGACAATCTGAGAACTTCTGGTGTAAAGTGAAGTGGTATTAATACCTAAAAATGCTGACTGGCTTTAGTGGGTATGTGGGAGAGTCCTTAACACAGCTACCTCCAAGGCAGGATTCCTGGGTTCCGCTCTTGGCTTCCTTCCCAACACCACAAACCATTCCCCAGACAAAAGCAAAGTTGTTATAAACTGGAAAAAAACACCAGTACATCTTAAGCACTGCTGCAGGCATCTTTGCTTACACAAAGTCTGTCATTACATTACTTATCCTCTGAAATAAGTAAATAAACAAAAATTTCTTTAGGTGAAAAGATGTCTACTGGAATAAAAAGAACTTTTTTTTTTCAGATAATATTGCGCGAACTCATCAACAGCAGAACAAAACAGAGACAGCGGCAGCAGTCAAGCAGAAACAAATAAGGCTGTTACCTCCATTTCATACATAGGTGGCCCCAGGATATCTTTTAAAGCATGGAAATCAATTAAAATTGGCATTTCAGGTGGCAGAGTCAGGTCAGCAGTGTCACTGATGGAGTCTGTTTTTGCATCTTCTGTGATATGCTCTTTGCAATCTAAGAAAAGAAAAGATACTTAGTCAAATTAAAGATAATGCCATCAAATTTCATGATTATTAAGAACATTAACATGTTCTAAATTGTCCAGCAAGGATAATATTAAATCTGGAGCACTGATGGAGAAACAACTCACTTAAAGTAGGTCATGCAGCAAAACACATGAAATTCATTTAAGATTTTGCTCTTTTCACTAGATATGTACAAAAAAAAATTTGCTAATGATTATGTTTTACACAGTATAATATTAAATATGAAGTTGAATGTGGAAATATTACAAAAGCACTATAATTAACTGTCATCTTTTTTTTTTATGTACTGTGGTCTCCTGCAAGGGTTTCAATGCTTAACTTCTGAAATTCAGAATCGAGCTCTGTCAAATCCAGAAGTGGCACTTTGGCCATGTTTACCCATGTTGTTTTGCCACAGGACTGTGGTAATTAATGCTACTCTGCATCACATTCAGTAACATCGTGCTTCCAAAACAAGCAGCCTTTTAGGCCAGGAGGCCATGACCTGGCCTTTTTGGAAATGACCACCAGTGCGATCCAAAAGGGCTATAAAACCCCAAAAGCCTAACGCATTCAAACACAAACTACTCAAGTCATGAAGAAGGAAGGGCTCACACAAAGCAGTAGTTACGTATTCAAAATGTGTTTCTTTCTTACTCCATTTTAAGTATCACTGTATTTCTTAGCAGTACAGCTGTTTCCTTAGTGATAACATTTCAGTTTTCTATACAAATGTTAAAATGAAAAATGTTAACGGAGACCTTGTAAATATTAAAGCTTCAAAATTATTTTAACCCGAGTGCATAGCTGGTCGTTTGCACAAAGAAGCTGGAGAATTAACACCACTTGTAGCAGCCCTACACTGTGGACATGCCCAAGAGCACCGATACAGAGCGGAAAACTGACACTCACTTGCCCACTGCATTTGATCCATGTGCAAAAGGCTCATTTACTGTTTTCTTGAAAGTATAAAGCAGTATTTTAGTGAAACGTTTATTGGAAACATAAAAAATACCTGAATTATTCCAATATGTCTAAGACTCTGGCAGTCTCACAGCTGTGCCTCCCTGCCGTGAGGCTGCCATTAAGAAAAGCACCGCGCGTGCGCGCGCACACACACACACACACGCACACACACACACACACACACATTTTTTTCTTCATTCCAGCTCGCTAACACCCGCCTGGGAACCCACTGAAGGCGGCAGGCTGCACTGCAGGGGCCGTGTGCTGAGCCTCAAGCCTCCCGCACCAGCGCGCGGAAATCGCCTACGTTGTCCCAGGCAAACGCTGAGAACGGCTTCCTCTGCACTCTGATATAGGCACAACAACTGAAGGTTCCGAAATTTAAATGTTATGGAAAGACACAAATCACTGATCTAATCTACTTAGTGTAATACTGAAAGCGCGTGTACAGTGCTGCAAAAGTAATTTTCAGAATGGATGAAGCGGGAACGTCTCATTTCACAAGATACAAACTACCCTTTTATTAATCCTGATGTATAAAAGCCTGTTTTACAGTTAATACTGTAACAGTACAATTCTCACTAATGCTTTCATACAGTACCAGGGAAAATACTCGACATCGCTATTATAATAATAGCATCAATTCCGCTTTCATGCGGCACTCAAATCAGGTAGTTATTATCTAACTGCCACTAATCTTTCCGGCCTACAACTCATTGCTCAACACACAATTCAATTCCCTTCCCAGGAACACTGCTTTTTTCGGACAGCCCTCCTCTTGTTTCAGCCCATCTCCGTGTTTTTGTTGAACTACCATTTCTTGTACACAATATATTCAAATACATAAATAACAGCAAGTATAGGAAATAGATAACTCTTCATGCTATTCCTGCAAATCAGGTTGCAATTCTGACAGTATGGACTTTAAAATTTGAGCAAGCTGATGTGACAATTCCTATTTTAAAACAAAATTGAGTTTAATTACAGCTGCTCTTGTGTGATACTAAGGTACTTCACCACCTCGTGCACACAATGATTCGCTATTTCTGCTTATTATTATTTATTTCACTCAATTCTCTGTCAACAGCTGAAGCAGACAGAGACTTCTCGTAAACAACTGGCTAGTTAATCTTTGAGACCACCTGCCCTATAAAAAGAATAAGCAGCCCTTTGTGCATACATAATCTAATTACTAGACCCTGTTTTATAATCCTTAGTGGTAATGAACTCCAGACTTCCCTGTTTTCAAAAATGTTAACCTAAACTCTGACCTTTTCTAAGCTGTTTTAAGAGCATACAGCCATGTTCCCAAATGTAATAACAAACACTAACTTTGCGAGAAAAATTCTTATCACCTTATTAGATGTGCTGACTATAAGGAATTTATTCATTTTTCCATTAATGTCACATACTTGTTCCCTTCCCATCCTAGAAGAATAGTCATAATTTTTTTTATATATATACACACACACACACACACATATATATATATATATAAAAAACCCTGAAATGACACCTCCACCCAAAAAGACAGTTTCCAGGAAGAGGAAATCAGGATTTATTCCAAAAAGTAAATTCCTGGCACAAAGATAAACACTAAGAATTTAAGACTCCTGCTTTCTTCTAGAGATTCAATTTAAGTGAGTAAATGGAAGAGCTGAAATCTTTCTCATCAGGTAGCAATTTCTCACTGCTTCATAAAACATATTTAAATTAAGCATTAGTAATACAATGCTTTTAAAAGCAAAGCTTTCTTGCTATGCTGACTAACACAGAATAATAAACTGGAAACTTGAAAATATGAAATAGCTTTCGAATTGAACTTTTCATGCAAGAATATTTAGATATATGTTACAAATAGCCTACATATAGAACAAACTTCTGATATAATTTATGCCTCTGGCCTAAATAGAAAAATAACTCCAAGCAATTTGGAGAAAGAACCATGAATTACACTTCTGCAGATTTGCTAAGTATATTTAAGTAGTAAGTACTAAATTTATTTACTGTTGCTAAGTAGTAACTGTGCTAATGTCAGCACAGTTAAACTCGAACTTGAGCATCTAAAGAGGCCCCACCCTGGGAATCCTGCTGCTCAGATTTTGCGAACCGGTTCCGCAGTGCTAAGGAAGACCCTGTGTTCTAAGTGCCAAATTTTCAAAAGATTACAGAAAATGGCACTTTCTGGAACCAAAAAGAAAGTAGTTCATAATCTCATATTTTTTAAGTAAAATGCATTATATTCAAGTTGGGATAGGGGGAATAAAGTTTACATGTTTTTGTTCAAGTTGATCACTTTGATCAAATTTTAAACTCAAAAAAGGGTGCAGATTCATTCCCAAGCATTAGAACAAACTGTATTGCTGGGTTACAGAAATATTTACATATTTTTGAAGCCTCGGTTTCAATGTAGATAGGATTCGTTTGCTCGGTTTTAGTAGATAAATATTACCTTTCCTAAACTTCCTTTCGTGTCTGAATCCCATGAATCACTTTTTGCTTCTGTGTTCCAACTGTTGTATCATGCTATGCTGCCCGGGTACACAGCTGCTGCACCGCACACTTGAGGCAGATGCACTAAAATAGGTAGGAGAGTCTCGCATATTTCTGTAACTACTAGAATCTCCTCCAGTGTCGAAGACTAGATGAGTGTCTCATAAATCTCAGATAGAATTTCAGTAAAATATCAGATAGTGTTACTGTACACAAGAATGACTCCCTGGAGATGTGTGAAAAATGACCCCATTTGCTTTTGCTGAAGTTCACTGTATAAACTCAATGACTGATGCAAACTAACACTCCTCCACTTGTCATCCTTGTCATAAAGCTCAGGAGCCAGAAGAGGGAGGAAGGCAATACAAAGCTGCCCATTTACTCCAACCATACATTTTGGAAAGTGCTGAGCAGCTTGACAGCACATTCCCGCCATGAGTTCTGCTATGGCAGGTGTCCTCCATCCTCACATGAAACAGTGTCAAAACCTCAAAAAACCTCAAAAACCATTGCTCAGCTTTGGGTTACTAATCTGATTCATCAATACAGTGACAGAAACTTAGTGGTTTATCACCTCATTTCCTTCAACTTTTATTACAAAAGTTTAAAGGAGAGGGCACTCAGCCGAACACATGCAAGAGGCACTGTGCCACTCTTCTGATATGCCAAAAAGGATGTGCAAAAAGCCTGTACTTTCCCAAATTCAGAACTCCTGACAACGGAAAGTGTTAATGAAGACTCTAGAGTCCACATGAGTAACTGACAAGTATTTAAAGCAAAAATGAACTACAGGTCTTTAAAAAACGATAGAGAAAGAAAAAGCCACACAGTACTTTAAAATTAACCTATTAAGAAGGGACTTGACTACCTATTATTCAAGAGCCACTAATGATATAAAATGAAAAATTACCAGCACTATGCACATTGGCATGCACATTCATACACCAAGAAGATTAAAAAACCTACTACAGTCAAAGAAATAAATTTAGGCTATACATCACATTATTTCCATAAATTCGTAAATTTGGGGATATATATTTCTGGATTTTGTTTTACATATTTGGTGCTTCAGGTCGAATGAAAGCGAAACAAAACCTAAAATAAACAAAAGCAACATAAAATCCCACTTCCAACAAGTGACATATTCTGCTAAAAATACAGCTGTATATAAACACATTGTTAACACAAAATACACCACCCCTTTTGCAGACTGCACCATTTTGCACATGTCTTAGTAATACCAAAGATTAACCAGAGATCCACATGTCCCCTGGAATCCCTTGTGTTAGTGCAGTGCTTTCCTAGAGACAGTTTTGAGGCCAGAAGCTCAAAGAAAACTGTTCCCAGCTCGGTGCTTTTGGGCCTGCTCCAAACAGTGTGCCAACCAAAAGTGCTAACATTTTGCCCTCTTTTGAAGAGCTTTGCTTGCAATTACTGTTTTTGCTAGGTAAGCTGCAAGCCCAGTGATAACTTTAACATTGTTAAAAGCACTCTCACTGGACTGAGTTGCATCTGCTTTAAAAGTAAAAAGATTCTTTCCAATCTACTTTTCTCCTGTTTCATCAAGAGTCTTGAAGAGGAGAATGACACTTTTTTTAATCCATTAATCATATTAGGCCCTTGAACACATTTTTGATATATTTATCCCTTCACAGAACAAAATTACACTTTAAAAGTATGAGTTATCTGAAAATTACCAGCACAAAAGGGACAGAAGCACAGGGTAAGGATACCTAACCTTGCCAGACTGTACCTCAAAGCCCAGAGGCTCAGTGTTCTGATTCAAAAGACAGCTCAGGGGTATTTCAGAAAAATCCAGCACTAAGCAGCAAAGGTGTACCAAATGCAGCATGCAACATAAACAGAAAGCATTAATAAAGACATCTTAAAAGCTCTTCCTTCCAATGTATGTGGGATAATTTAAAATTTTACAGTCTCTTCTCCACATAAAGTCACAGCTATTGTGAGAGTTCATTTTGTTAAACTAAACATTCAGAGAGAACTGAGCTGAATGCACTTAAGCAAACTAACTTGCAGGCCAAACTCAATCTTCTGAGATTACAGGTATCTTGCAAAGGCTATTATGATGATCGTAAATAAATAAAGTCTGAATTTGCACAGAAGAAATACTGAGTGAATGATAAAGCTGAATGTCAATAAATGGGTTTCCAGAGACAAGCTAGAAAATCTTTTACTGTGGGTAGAAAACCTCTTGGTATATTTTTCTACTTAATAGCTCTGCATTTCTACAAACAATAAACATATTACCACTCCCAGATTTTATTCCCTGAAATGACAGACAGTCACTATTCAGACTTACAAGCTGGTTTAACTTAAAGAAGTGGAAAAAAAAGTCTCTTTATTTGTCCTCTTGTAAATCAGTCAGGATTCCGAGGTGACTGCATTACACTCCTTTGCAACCAAAACTGTAAACTTCCTATGCAATGTCCTACTAAAATCCTACTAAAAGTGAAGTGCTCATGTAAAGTTACTCATGGAAAACAAAGTGCTCACGGAAAACTACATTCTGGTAAATTGTAAAATATGTTTCCGAATACCGGGGAAAGGTTGGACCAAGACGGAACAAAAGATGCAAGAAGTAGATCTATATTATTTTAACAGAATAACAAATTCTACTTGCAGTAGAAAGAGGTTAACTACCATGAACCTATAAACATCTAATTCCATAATTTTTCACAAAAGTGTAGTACCGCAGCATTACATGCTGGTGAAAGGCTTATAGATGTCTGGATCACTGGGAATGCTAAATAGTTATCTTCTAAAAACATGGGAGAGAAGAAAAGACTTACTAAAGATGATGAAAGTTACCAGAGCTCCAAGAGACTTTGAACGAGTGCTATTTCATTCCAGGATCAAAATAAATTGTGGTACTTGCAAAGCGCAAAAAAACCACATTTTTATCCTGCAGACTCCAGAGAAAAACCTAAGCTTCTCTGTCTTCAAAGAAGTTAATGAAGTACAAGACTATCACTAAAGACCACTGAAGCATCACTTCTTAGGTTACTATGTGAGCTAATGAGTTTCATGAACGGCCATAAATCCTTAAGTGACATATGCTGCCTTCTTAAAGGACCATAAAGAGAGCCCCCAAACGTTCCCAATCACATTAGGAACTTCCTTTTTAACAAAGCGTGCAAAAGATACAAACCTTCTTCTTCAGCCATTTCAGCACGATCTGGCTTTGCTTCTTTGTGCTGTCCTTCTGCCACTTTCACTGCCACTGCTCGGCAAATCGCTCCCAGTTTCCGATCCAGAGAGCGGACTCCTGCCTCCCTAGTGTACCTAGCACAAACACAATCATTTTACTGAGAAACAGACAGTGGTGTTATTTTTAATAAAGAGATGTCTTTTGAATCTAATATCCTTTCTTTCTAAAAAAATACATCCAAATAAAATGAAATGTCAAGAACAGTAAGGCCTTGGACTGCTCTAATAAATGGGGACAAAATCATGTTCTAATATCAAACTAATTGTTGCTTGTTGATTAAACTGTGAAGGAAAATCAAACCACTGAGTCAGGAAATGACAGTACTGACATCTGGATCCAAAACTTAGGGAAAAAAAAAGGGAAAAAAAAACTAAACAATGCTCCAATGACACTGAGCATATGCATATGGAAAAAAAAAAAGGGATTTTTTTAAGTTCAAAATTCAATTCATTGAAAATAGAGGAACTGACTGGAAAAATACATTACCCTTCAATCTATGAGTTAAAAATAAATACTAGCTTATTGAAACTTAATTTCAATTTTTAGACAAATTAGGCCCACCAAGTCCAAATATTCAAAATTATGTTCTCCATTTTTTCTAAGAAGAAAACATAAATAAAGCTTGATTAAGATCAATATTGTGTTATGCCAAAACCATGCATTTACACACTGAAGGCAGTAAAGAAATACTAGCTTGAAATGTTTCTGCCCATTCATACTGCTTTGTCAACTGTGCCCACACAATCGCTTATGACCCATTCTAAAAACTAGATCAAGGAAATCTCAAGAGAAGGAAGAAAGTTTCTGTTTAGTGTGAAGAGCTAAGAAGAACTTGGAAAAACCATTCCATAAATCAAAAGGTGATGAATATCTGAATACAGAAAGACTAAATCTGATCTTAAAGAAGTGTTTCAGGCTTAAAATAATTTAATTACCAGCAAAAAAGTCATTTAAAAGCAACGAACAACCGATTTACCTGGTAATTATGTCTAAAGTGGTTACTTGTGGAATCTGAATCTGCTGTGGAGTCAGGCCATGCAGTTCAAGTTGTTTAGGAATCAAGTGTCTATGTGCAATTTCAATTTTTTCTTCCTGTGTATATCCTTCAAAAGAACAAATGTATGTTTACTAATCATTTTGCCCATGCACGACTATATCAAATCTATAACTCACTCAGAATTGTACCCAATTGAATTTAATAATCTTCCCTCCACCAAGATATTTCCACATGCACAAAAATGATATGGACACCTAAAGTGGGATTTTGGAACAATCTAAATCATTCCTAGATATTAACATTTACAGTAGCAACATTCTAGGTACCTAACATATTTGTCTTAGTGACAATCCAGCGTGAAGAGTTAAGGAAGTCTGTTGTTAGGAATGTATGATCAACCCCTAAGCTCATTCTCTCTCTAAAGGGAAGTTCATTCATAATGAAAGACTGGTAGTTTTTATGCCTTGTAAAGTACCACCCTCACTGGAAAGTTATCTTAACAGTTAGGGCACTCATTGTAGAGGAAAGGGATTCTGCACTATATTACCAAATTACTATTTAATATTCAAAACATACAAATAATCTTCAGTGCAAAGAAGGCTGCTTTTCCTGCAGCCTGGTGAGAGCTACAATCACAAGACTGACTTCCGTACACGGAACTCAGGCTCTCAGTTCAGCTTTAGGAACTGCAGTCTGAAAGCAACACCTAAAGGTACAAGCACACCCTGTCTTTACCTCTACGCAGCTACAGTCCTTTGGTTACTGCATTATTCACACAGGCTAGCTCCAGGAAACAGTGCAATTCAATAAGCTATTTTCTTGTATTATTTGTTTTCAGGATTTTCTATAATTGCCAAATTTTGCTAAAAATGGCTTTATACATCCTAGAAAATTTATTCCAGTACACCAAATATACAGTGAAATTAAAAGAGAAAGTGTAACTGAAATACACTGCAGGGTATACTTTTCACTAGTTTTCCTCCATATACTTGTAAGCATTACGGCATAATACACAGGATTTTATTTTGATGATCTTTCAGAACATGATTTCGGGAATAAATCATTGTGTGCTACACTTCTATAATATATTTATGGAATACATCACAACGAAAACAGTATTAGTCACCTTCACATTTTTAGGGTACAAACAGCAGTCCTACTGTTTGAAACCTTACCAGCTATGTTCTAACACCTATAAGTGCTCACCATCCAATTTCATTTTCACACTGGCAAACAGTTTTCAATCAGAAATGTGAATTTGTGGACTAAAACCAACAACAACAACAACAAAATCAATAAAATCTTTTATTTACAGTAAATAGGTTACACTTGGGAGTTGTTCTTTTTATCAGATCTAGTCAGTTACTGCAACTGGTCTGTGACCAGACAGAATTTCAAAAGCTGTTAGCATGATACTTCACGGTTATTCAGAACGTTGGATGAACAGCAAGAGAAGCTTTAGTCTTTGAAAGCAGTCTTTCAAAAGTTTCTTCACTGAGATCTTAAAAAGATCTACTAGCCATTAGCAGGCTTAAAAATAACAGAACTGCTTTTTATTTAACAACAACAACAACAAAAAACAACATTAAAGACTTACAAGAGGCATTTTAATGACAACACTTCATTGTTACCTGGAACTTGAATGACTTCCATTCTGTCCAAAAGAGCAGGTGGGATAGTAGCTGTAGTATTGGCTGTAGCTATAAAAAGGACTTGGGACAGATCAAAGGCTACATTTAAATAGTGATCGGTGAAACTGTGATTTTGTTCTGGATCCAAGACCTTAAAACAAGAGTGAAAGTGAATTGACATCCACATTTTATATACATTTTTATAAACATAAATTATACATAAATCTGTCAAAATAGACTAATTGCTCTAATTTTCTCCTAACCTACTACTAACTTTGAAATTAATATTGCACCCCACAGTCAACATTTTGGCACAGCACTTACAAGCACAGACTTAAAGATGCACAAGTGCATGGGAGTCCAGAAGCTTTCAGCCACATGCTGTCTAGACTGTGCTGGTCTCCAAATAACTGGGGGATTCCAGTTCTGCATCAAAAAGCCTTTATATCTTGAAGCCAAAACTAACTAGCGTTTTGTCAGAAGTTACTAATAGTGTTTAATGAATTTTCTAACCATCTTTCCTTGTGAACAGTAGCAATAGGTACCTTGCTAGAACCCCAGTACCTAATAACTGAAATAAGCTTGCAGTGTATTCATCTAAGCAACATGCAGATGCTTGATGACATGTGGCTCTAGGATAAAGGGTGTATCTTCTCTTAGCATGTATTTTGCCTACTATCACTTAATCAAAAACAGTCCCACATTTTCTTTGCTCGGCCTTTTACTAGCAATACAGCCATAGAAGCTCTTCTCATTGTCCTTGATGTCTCTCCTTGAAGTCTCAACTCTGAGTGAGCTTTGGCTTTCCCAAAACCATCTTTGCACTGTTTCTCCTCCCCCAAGATTTGTGGTTTAAAAAAACAAACAAACAAACCCTAACTATGAACACTGAAGAATATCAACATGTACTCTGGCAAACCTCAATAATCTACTACTACTGCAGCAAAAGTAAATCCATGCCTTAAAAACAGTGTTGTCTTTCTATTGCTCTTATTACTACTTCTAATGGGTTAGTCCTCTTCTTGCATATATTTGAGCTATTATCAGAACGAGCTCTTTTTCACTATTAGGTGATAAAAACAGTATTTACAAGGATCATGATTGCATTAAGATGCCTCTCTCTAGTTTCAAAATAGAGCCAAAAAATGGAGGTTCATTGTATACAGTATTCTACACTTGGCTCCTATACCAGCACCTGCGTACCCACCTTAATTCCATCTCTTCCCTTAAATTACTGTCATGCTTTTTCTTCCCACATGATGAATTATCTATGCTATGCTGACATGAATAATTCTCATGTTACAAATAATGGGACCTAAGCATCTCCTGAGAAACAGCACACTACTGTCAAAATAATTTATATGCCTATACCCCATGAATGCACCCCTTGTCCTAGTGGCTTGAATTATAGGCGAGAACAGTGTTGATAATTTTTTAAAAAACCTTTGAATCTGAACAGTTGTTAGCTGACTAGAAAAGAAACATTTTTTTATTTTTGTACTCTAAATCCTACCCGATCTTTGAAAAGTTAAAAAAAAACTTCAGAATAGAAATGTTTATCATTATACAAGTCTATCAAAATACCTTTTAACTGCACACAAGAAACACAGCAGATTTTTAGTAAAAGCTCTGGTTTTGAAACATTGCAGTTTTAAGAAATATTTTTTGGAATTTTACTGTCACTGCTATTAAGTTCTACTTTCCCCCATGGTGAAATCTTTAAGCATATTGGAGCATGCAGCTAACTTCTGAACATAAGGCTGTAATTCAGTGAACATTATTGTTCACTGGCTGCAAGTTATTCAAAAGCTGCTTTTCTTACCCTCTCTAGCAGGCAGCTCCTATCGTTTACTCTCTTCTTTACTGCTGAAGGCAAAGGCCTTCAAGTATCATGACTAGCCAAGTACACTGATGAATAATTCAATCAATAGAGATACCTCTTACCTCAACTAGTCCCAGAGTATAGCTTCCTACACTACAATCACACGCAGTGTGTCCAAACGCCAAGAAAGGTAAGCTATATCAAACATTAGTCTCACATTTGAAGTCTATTTTTGTAGATTTTTCCAACAAGACTTAAACCACAAATCCTAATTCACTTTTTTTTTTTTTTTTTTTTTAACACCAATAGGCACCATTTGTACAAATGCCAGTCTATGAGCTCAGTCACCTGCAACCTCTTCTAAAGAGGCTGAGAATTCTGTATTATGCCAGACTTGGACTGCTCTGGACTAGTAATTCTTTTTCATGGTAAAAAGTTCTTAAAATAATACATAAAACAATATAATGCCTATTCATTTAAAACAGATTTTCCAAAGCACACAGAACTGTTCTTCAGCTAGATATCTGCTCTAAAATTCACATTCAAAAATTTTCCAAAGACATTCAACTAACAGAAAAATACTATATTCAATGAACAAAACATCTTGCTTAATTTGTGGCCAGCAGCTCACATGCTTACAAAGGCATCTCTGTACCAGCATTTTATTACCACGAAATCCAGAATAAGTTCCATGAACATTTAATTGCCTGGCTATGCTCCTGGTCTAATTTCCCTGCATACAAATACTCGCTATCAGACACTTGGATCCATTTTTATTTTCTTCTCTTTTAAGCAGAGGTCATCTAAATTTAGAATAAAACATTCCTTTGCTGATGAACAGTAACTGGAAATAGGAAGACATTCTGTTTTGCTTAAGTAACAACTCCACAGAAACACCACAACTAAACACATACCCAGTAAACACAAAAATCAACCTCTGCTTTGTGGCTTATAGGGTATGCCAGCTTTCTTCCCGAATATACCTCACTGTGCACAGTTAGTGGGGATTTAACATACCTACACATTAGTGCATTAGGATGTGCCACTTAAACTTAATGATGGCACTGGCCAAAGCTGCAGAGGCGATCCGGAAAGAAACTCACCAGTTGAGTGACTATTTACTACTGCTTGTTCTTCTACTAGTTGACAATTAAGCATTTCATGTGCAGACACGAGTTCTCCATTAGAGGAGGTAAAGCACCTGCTTCAGAATGTTCATAAACAGCAGTAGAGGGATACAAAGATCTCACATGGGAGCAGCACCCAGACATGGTTACTAAAGCAATTACTTCTCCAGATACAACTAATGGACAATTAGCAATAATTTGCACAGAGACCATGATCTCAGAGACAGCTGGGAGCTGACCTGAAGAGACTCAACTGGAATAATCCATGGCAGGAACATAGTTCAATGCCACTGAGAAGATTTTAAAATACACAAAATAGAAACATTTCAAAGCAGCAACAAAATATCAATAACTTGAACACAAAGTAATTCAATAATAAATTCATTTTGTTCACCTTCCATGCCTGGCATGATAGGAAAAGGATGAAATGCTAATCCCTGCTTCAGGATAAGCAATGAAAAATAACCAAACATAAACAGCAAAGGTTGAATATAATTAACAACATTAATGAATGGTTTCATGATCAAAACATTCCCCCTCCCCACCCAGTGATTTTCCTTCCAAGAAATGCCAAATCATTGCTTCATCACTGACTTTGCTTGTCTCACAAACAACAGTTATCTCACTAACAAAACACAATGTTTTGAGTAGTTATTACCATGCATTGACTAGATTAAGGCCAGTTTAGTCCGATATCCAAGGGAGAAATGACTGAAGAAATACCAGCAAACTCAGAAACAGATCTAGTTACCATTAGCAGCAAAGAATAAAAGCCTGAAAGAAGTAGGAAGTATATATAGAAAAAAAATGCATTTGAATATCTGTCACACAACTCTGCTTGTTTTCTTTTTCCTTGCAGGCTGTTCATGCATTCTAGGAATGCATACCATACACTTGAGAAATACAGAGCTATAGCATCATAATTATCATTTTTAAAAGTTAAAAAGAGAATCCATGGCATCTTTCAGTACATTTACACTATTATTAGTATTTTAGAGTATCTAACAGAATCTACAATGACATTTGTAGAAAGTCATAAGACAGATGAGTTCACGACATTAAAAAAAAAAGGAATCACTTCGAAGGAATCACTTTGAGTAGGAATTTTCATATTCAAAGCACTGTATTAAGCAATACAGACAATACCAGTTCAAAAGATTCATTAAAATGACTGTATACAAATGTTATCAGAATCATTTACTTTCATTCCCACCCACAACCTCCAGCTACATGAGTTACAAAAGCTTAGTTTGCCAGCTGAGATGATTCTAGGATTATTCCCTCCATCATTTCAGTGAAAGAGGGAGTGTGGCATGACCACAAAAGCAGGCCAGCTAAAACACTGATAGCGTAGTAGTCTCTCACAGACTGACGTAAACATAACAGAACATAAAACAGCAGTAAAAAGCGTAATGCCACAGCAGTATAATGAAATTCTAGACACACACAAAACCAAAATCATTAATGGCACTAGTCCTACATTTGCCCTGTACAGCTCCAACTGTTTCAGTCTACTCCAGCCTAACTGTGCCCTCAGTTTCCTAATCCTCACCTCTGCCTGTCAGCAGCTCCAGGAGGGCAAGGTGTGCCCAGCCTTCGGCACTGACGGTGGCCATGCTCTTTGTTTCATTCCTATAGCCACAGAGATGCTCCCTTCTCTCTCCAGCAAACTGCTAGAAAGAAACCGCTGCAAATGTAAATCAGTGTGTCCCAGCTGTGAAAAAAGGAACTGTACTGGCTCAGCCTCCTAACTTATACTCCATGGAAAAAGATGGGAAGAAGAAGGTTCTGGCAGCTCACTGCTCATCTTCCCCATAATCAGACAGTTGTAGCATCTTAATCTCAACATCTCATTAATAACTTTTCTACAAGTGATGGATCTAAAAAATAATCCAAAATATCCCCTTCACAAAAGTCCTATTCACACCTCCTAGATTTTGTGTCTTTAAGCAAGTCAGCTTTCACACCTCTACACTCCCTCTACACTTCACACCTCTACACTCTACACTATGATAAAGTAACTGTACAATGTACTTCAAAATTAGATTCATTTTTATCTTGATTCAAGTCCCAGAACTGAAGAAAAAGGAACACACACACATTTAATAGCTCTCATGGAAAACAAATGTATAATTATGCACATCATAATTAGTCAAAAACTGAGGATTCATGACTTAAATGATAATTTAAAGTGCAGAAGGTTAATTACAACACTAATTAAAAAATTCTGATAAAGGATACACAAATAGCCCATATTTATATACTTACTTGTAGCATAAGCCTGTGCTATTAAGAGTTTTCAAAACATATTAATGTATTAAAACAAACAAACAAAAACAAAAAACAAACCAACAAACAAAAAAAACTTGAAAAAGTCCACATACCTTCTGGATTGCTTACACCAGCAGTTGTTTTAATTAAAAAAGCTGTCTTTCCTAAGTGATATCCTCCTTTCTGAGTGCAATATTTGAAGTTTTTAGTTGAAAAAAATGAAACACAGCTTGGAATTTAACACCTCTTACCTCAAGCAAGGCAGCTGCTGGATCGCCCTGCAAGCTCTTCCCCAGTTTATCAACCTCATCGAGCAGGAACACCGGATTGTTAACCCCAACAGTCTTCAGTCCGTTGATAATTCTACCTGGCATGCTGCCGACGTAGGTGCGTCTGGGGGAATGGAACATGTGGAGAAAGCAGGGCCAGATGCATGAAATGGGAGTACAAACAGCAAAAATAAAACCCAACAGAAAATATAAGAATTGGTAGTCTTGTAACAAATACTGTTTTTTGCAAAAACTTCTGCAACTAGTAGATTAAAAAGTACTGAATATGCATTTGAACTAATACAACCAATTATATTAGCAGGTGGAAATTCCAGTTCCCTAGTGCATAGGTTGGTTCTGGAAGATAAACTGCATAGGTATGACAGTGCGTACAACCATTACATCTTACAGGTATTTCACATGGTTTAGTATAAGCATCTTTGAACTGTACAAACCAGCAGAAGCACATTTGGGAACCTCATTAATACCAACACTTAAAAACAGTGATATTGTTTTTCATCATTTCAACAGCGTTCATCCAGTGTTTTACAAATCTGGGCAAAATTTCAAATATACTGAACTGTTGATGCCTATTGTATGTGCCACATGTTTTAACTGGCAACCATAAACAGAAAATCTGATTTATTATGTCATTTCAACAATCAAATAAAACCTGGAACAGTGAATGGAACAAGAAATTATCAGTTCAAATTTATGCAGCAAACCTGGTAAAACTTCCCCCCACCAGCATTCCCAACACACATAGAAAACCAGGATATAAATGCATATATACCCATTTGATGAATTTATCATGGTCTTTTCTGCTGGTGCAATAAGTAAACAAAATACTGTAAGTATTTAAAAGTATGAAATACTGGTCACTCAGGAGATACATGAAGTGCTACTTGGTTACAGCGTGTATCTCATGACCCTCACAAAGCAGAAATGCAGAACAGGCCTGCTCTGCTGTATGATCTGTTTCAATGCACTCCAAAATAAACAGGATGGCATTTAGAAAGATGAAACCAAAAATATCGTGGGAGTTAATTTCAAAAGATTCTAGAGAAGATTTAAAACATAACAATAACTCATAATATGTAGCAATGTTGGTTTCACGTAATATTTAACTACTGAGGGAACAAATGCAGTTACTGCATTTAACTCCAGATCCAAGTAAAATTAAGTTTTTGATATCTTTCAATAGCTAGATAGAAATAGTTAGAAATGCAATACAATTTCAACTTTCCTACTACCACCTCCATGAGGCAACTGTTAAAAACTGGAGCAAGCAGCACACACTAGTTTATCACCTCTGTGCTTTTGTGCACTCTCTTCTCCTACAGTGAGAGAGCAGGTCCCTCTCCACTGAGTGTACACCACGTTACATCTACTGCAGGTCAGGAATCTGCATGGGGGAACTATTGTAACTAGCACGTCACTTTGTTCTCCATCTGCACAGAGTCAACCTTGCCAAAAGAGTTAAAGTATCCTAGAAAGCACTGATAGAAAATCAAGAAAATGAAGAACTGGAGCTCAATACAGAGACTCGTTTGCCAGTGGAACCAAGTTAACCATTTTAGCTATTATTTTGTTTCACAGAAGGTGCTTATTATACCAGGAGATATAGCTTATATACTTTACAGACTGCAACAGGAACATTTTTTGTTTTAACACTGTATTTATCCCAGAAATGGGACAACATATTTAGAAACCTTGACACTTTTTTCAAACACATGCTTAAATTTGTGAGATATGAAAGGATGCCTTATTTTTATATAAAAAAATTACACATTTATTAGTGTTTTGTGTACATGCATTAAATCTTAGCTGAGCACTTTAAATTCCATAAAATTTTCAGATACCTAGGTACCATTCAGTTACAAAACGAGCAAACAAAAAAATATTTGCAAAAATGCAATTTTAAGAATATCAAAATCAAGTAGCTTTTAAAGCAAGAATGAAAAACATTCCAACAACATTACAGAAAATCATTAAATGAAAATGCTAAAAAAAAAACAAAAAAAAACTTTATTCAAAATATGCCTTGTGTTATGAGCTACCATATAAAAAAAAAATGGTAGACTGAAATTAGACTGAAATGAGTCTGACTGAAATGAGTCCAGCATTATCAGAAGGTTACCTGTGCAACCCCTGAATTCTTCAAGAGAATGGAGAAAAAAAGAAATATTGCTGGCAACACACGGCAGTTCTGCAAATGAGTCAGTCTCCACAGAAATGGGTTTAAAAAAAATGCATAGTCGGATTTTCATTTCACCACAACTGACTGTTCTCACTCTTCCTTTGCTTGCACTTTCTTCTTCTCAGTTGCATTTTAAAAAGTCTCCAGACATGTTAGATTTAAACAATTATCTCCAATATGTTTAATTAATGCATCAAATTTCTAATTAAAGTCTAAATTTATTTATATAATTTGATCAGTAATCATGAAATACAAATGACTAAATTTTATAATAAATACCTAGATATTAATATAGTCTTCTGATTTATAATAATATAAATCTGTGATACATCTTCATTTAGAGATGGATCAGGATCACTTTAAATACAATATTAATTAAAGATCCAAAATTTTCAAGGCATGTCACAAATACTAGTACAAATGTTACTTGCAGAATTATGAACAAAAATAGCATAGTGTTTTACTTCAAACATATACAGATAGCTCATTTCTACTCTAAGTGGTTATTAAGGAGCACATCTCAACATAAGTCATCCATAAGACAGACCCTGCACATATGTGCATTAAAAAATATTAAAATTACATGCAGATATGAGCATTATCTTTCTGGACATTAATCTCTGCCTTCTAACTTTCAAAATTGAACAGTGCTATTTGTGAACAGTAGCCACTGACTGCCAGGATATTATTTTCCTCAATTAGACAGTTAAAATGAGGAAAAGCTAATTCCTTCAACTGCAATGGTTTTCAAACTGTATTTGGCAAACTTGCCAGGAACTAGGAAGACTTAACAAAATCAATGCCATCAAAAAAACATATTTCTAAACTTACATGCACAAGTTCCCAATTTTGGCAGGTTTCACTGACTCGAGTGCTTTAAAAGCCTATCTTTGCTTTGTACTCGTATAACAAAACCATCCCTTGCAAGTGAAACTGTTTTGAGGCTTGTTTCTTCTAGCACTGTGCTACAGTAGCACCAAGCCTGCCCTATGAATTCCTGCTAGTGCAGCACTACTGGTTGGGAATCACACCTTTTCATATTTGGATGCACCCGAAAATGCCTTCAGCATAGACCAAAACTGGAGAAGACTAATCAGACTTCTAAAGGTTGAACAGTGATGTAATACAAGAGTATTCCACACAGAAGGCAGTATGAGTAAAAACCAAAAATCGACAAGCCTCATGGTGATCTCACTAGCACCACTATAAATAAAGAGAGCAACTACATTCTCCTTTTTAAAAATAGAAAATGACATACATGCAAGAGAAAAGATCACACAGTTCCTGTATAAGACAATATATTGGCACTGAGGAGATCTTAAAAACGGGGAGCTTCTCAGAAAAAAAGATCAATAAGCCCTTCAGGGTGCTTTGTTTTTCTTTATAACCATCAAATGCAAAGCAGCAAAGTTTTACAGATGGTACAGATGAGTGGTAAACATTAACAACAGCTGGAGGATGTCTGATAAAACACTTCTGTTTTTGTACTGAGGTGACAACTTTATTTTGGGAATAGAACAGTGGTTGCTAGTCTTCACCCAGTGAAGAAAGGAAACACGTGAACTCCAGCTGCAGACACATGATCCACAAAACCTGGGCACTTCCAGACTGCCCTGGTTACCCATCACAGCACACGGGGCAGCACACTTGCTGAAACACCATCCCACTTGGCGCCGACTTGCTGAAACACCACTCCACTCGGTGCTGCAAGCCACTGTATTGCTTTCTGTACCTACCTTTCACCTACAGGAGTAGTAAGTGACCAAACACAGTAAACACTATTATAGTGTTAGTCCTTGCTTTCAACTGAAACTCAGTCAGTTTCTTCTTAAATGTTTCAATACATTAGGGCTCTACCAACATGCCATTGTTATTTCTGCAACATTAATGGAACTTACTTTCACTTCAGCCTAATGGAGAGCTTCTTACTTACTTTCTCTTAAGAGAAAAAGAATGGCTCCTAAACACATAATGTCAGAAAATAACCCTATTTACAGTGTAACTCAGAGAACAGCAACCTATGTATCCAAAACCTTCCCACCACTTCTACGATTTCTTTCTGTGACTGCCAGAGGAAGCACAATATGGATTCACTTGAGATTAACTTGGAAAATCTACTCATTCAAAACGACATTACAGAGAGGTCTACAGAAAAACTGTACTTCCAAACTTCATTAGATCCTGTTTTGAAGACAGAGCAAAAAAGAAAAAAAAAATAGAGCAGATTTTAAAAATTGTTAAACTCTTGGTTTTAATTTTACATACACAAAACCTGCAAAAGCAATCGGCTACAAAGGGATGAATAACTTCTCCTCCTCTTAACTGCTATAAAGTTTGGTTCAGGTATTAGGCTGTACAGTTCCTTGTCTCCTGAAGAGTTATCACATGAAACTCTTAATTATATTAATATCACGTGAAACATCTTAATTATAGTAATAGATGGTATATTTCGTGATGAAAAACATATTCCAAGAACATCTACAGTCAGTTAATTGTAAGCTTTTTGTTTCACTTTCACACAACTCTAGCTGTCTTGATTAAAACTAAGATAGACAAAAAATAAAATACGGAAAACAGTAAGGAATTGGTGGCAACTCCATGGAAGCTGCTGACAGCCTTCCTTCCATTTATAACATCTCTTTCACAGACATGGTGTCCCTATCAGGAAGGCTGAAGTCCAATTCCTCCCTGGAAAACTCACTTGATATCTTAAGTGCTGTAATGCTTAGTATTCAACAGCCTCTTGTGGTTTCAGTTTGAATAGCAACATGTTGAATCTCCTTTTAAGTAGTGTTAAGGATCCAAACCACAAGTAATTTGAAACATCAGAATTCTTATATATTAAGCAGTTAACAGTGGTTAATGGGTAACAGTGGCTAGCAATACAGTTTAGTTTCTGAATAGTTTCTGAATTACAAGCATAACACATACTGAACAAAGAGGACAGAATTTTCCTTAGTGTTCCAATAGTGCTTAAGAAAGAGGGGCAAAAAGAGCAGACATTAAAAGTTTACAAAACACAGTGATCACAGCACTGTGTTTTGTATGGATGCATTAAACAGGGGCATTAAAAAAAAAAAAAAAAAACCTACAAATTTCTATTATTCCCCCATTTAAGCCTGGGTAGCTGCTGGGTATATTGACATAACCTACCCCAAGAAAATACCTTCAGAAGTTCCTTTCAAGCTACAAATTAAAGTATCAACTGTCTCTGGAAAACAAGTTCCTGGAAATCCGCCACAGAAAAATCCACATGCCAATCAATACATATTGCTCATTCTTTCAAGCATGCCTAAGAAAAAGCTTACCACTCAACTCTGAATTTTCAAGTAGCCGTTAAGTACATAATCACCGTTTCCTCGCTTTTTCCTATCTCAGATGTTCTAGTAAGTGATCAATAGCATGTTTATGTCTACATATCCCTAGATCGCCTGAAGTTTACACATAGCTTGAGCACCACACAATATAGCAAGTCTCCTGCATTTCTTCTGGTCACAGTTGTCAGCGTTTGCCCCTCTAATATGTTGAGCATGCAATTAGCTTACACATTTGGAAGTCCTTGAAAAAGAGTTAAATTGCATAATCTGGAATTGAAGCAAGAAACTACGCTGCACACTGATGAAAACAGCCATAGACGCTGCACAGATAACTAGACATCAAAGGAAAAAAACCAATAGCTTTAATTTGCAAGAATTTACTAGCTTCTGCAAGGGGAAATTTAGCTCAATAACATGACTTCAAATAACAAGATGCTCTTACCGATTCTTAGAGTACTACCAAGTTAATTATCCCAAACCTCCCACACTAACTGTAGGAAATATAAAAGGTGATTACTAGAACTGAAAATTACAAGTAGGAGAGAAGGAAATAGTTACCTGTGGCCTCGAATATCAGACTGATCACAGACCCCTCCTAAAGCAATTCTGTGGAATTCTCGACCCAAAGTCTTGGCAATAGATCTTCCAACACTAGTTTTACCAACTCCCGGGGGACCCACAAAACAAAGAATAGGTCCCTTGAGGTTGTTTTTAAGCTGCCTGACAGCTAAGTACTCCAAAACTCTCTTCTTCAGCTTCTCCATGGCATAATGATCATTATCCAAAAGAATTCGAGCTGCACGAATTTCAAGGCGATCTATCAAACATTGACAACAGAAGAAATAAAAGAACATTTATCTTTAAGACATAAACAATTTGCTCTGCAGTATAAAGGATACCAATATATTCTCAAGCATATTGAACAATAAGAAATTCATTTTTTAAATGAATCACTGAACAAAAATATCATCTATGGTCCCAACTTTCTGGCCTCTAGTCTGTATTTTTACTTACTGTACCTAAGAAGTCCAAAGCACCGCATCTACACATGCAAACAGAAACTTTCCAATTTTGCTTAAAGTAATAATCCTCCAACCACCTGTGACATGGTAAAACTCTGCAAGCTGAAAGACCAACTTCATGAATGAAGCATTCCACAAATACGCTACAGTTTTAGCCATAAAAGTCAACAAACTCTTTACTCGTTTTGTGGTTCTTTGAATATACTAGCCCTTGCAGGCTGATCCTTTTACAACTTAATGCTTAACAAAATATCTTCAAGAATATTTGTAAACATCCATGTCCCTATTTCAAAAAGGCCAAAATTCATCACCACGTGTACTAAAAGAAGGCAAAAATTATTTTTTCCAGGTATGCTATAGTAAATTACTTTTAAAAATCAGTTTGTTACAAATGCTATTCAAAACTCTCACTGTTCAATTCAAAACCCTCACTCTTCAACAATTGTTAACAGTAATTACAAATCCTTTTCCCCCAGCAGAACACCTTGTATAAAGACATTTGGCTTAATTGATCTTTTCCTGTTGGTCAGTTTGAAAAAGTTTGATTTTCTGTCGCTTTCTTACTTTCCATTTCTATGTTCTGTTGTCGTATTAATAGTATCAGTCTAAAAACATTTTTCTATTGTATCTGAAGTCATTACTACTAAAAATAACTACAATGACTTTTTCCTACTACTGTTCCTTAGCAAACCTGATTAATGTCCAATGTACCAGGATCTTCATCACGAAGACAAATGATGCAGAAGTGTACTGCTTTTTTTAACATAGAGATAACACTTAGCTTGATGCCTTTTTTCATTATTTTTAAGAGAAACACTGCCTAAATTTATAGCACCCCTCCCCAACAGCTTGCACTAATTATTCTACATTCTGTATTTCCAAATGCATGTCATAAATGTAATTTCTGAATACTGTGATCCAAACAGACCGTAAAATAAAGTGTCATCTCAGTGAGTACCATGAACTTTGAACTTGCTTGCAGTTCAGACATGAAAAACAAAAGCAAGTCCAAACAGATACCAGAGTACTGCCAGTGTGGAGACTAACAAAAGCAAAATGCAAATATTATTCCTGTTTTCTAGCTCTTCTTCAGTGAGAAAAATCTACAGAAAGAAATCTATCATTTTAAAAAGGTAATTTGATTAATACTGCTTTGCTATATAGCCAAAAACATGTATATATGCACACAATACTCGCACAGATTGTAGTGATTACACAGAAAAATGAAAGTGTTGATACTCTTACAGATTTTTTCAATTCACATTTTTACATGCACAACTGACTCAACTATCCAGTACAGATCTTATTTTAAACCTGGCAGACCCTACGACCTTGGTAATGTATTGATGACAATTTTATTGTCAGACTAGGAAACAAAAATTTGAGAGAGGTGTAAGTAAGTGTTTTTATGGTAGTTTCTTCTATTAAAATGTCTGTGCAAGAGACAGCCAACAACTTAAATCACCTTTGGTACTCTTGTTCCATGGCAATTCCACCATCAGTTCCAAGTAATTTCTGGTCAAAGCATATTCTGGCATTGACTGAGGCATTTTCTTTAACCTAGAAACACAAGCACAAAATATTTTCTGCATAACCTAACTGCAACACAAGATCCCATCTCTACTACAAGACGGATATTTAAAGTAAATCAAGCTGACACAAAGGATTATCTCCCTAGACGCACAGTTATCTATGCACTTTCACTGAATAAGAAACATTACATCGTGAGTACACTCATCTCCCTTACCAGGAAAAAAAAAATGGAGAAAAAAAAGGAAGACTCAAGAGATCTCTGTAACAGAAATATCTGCATTGGTTTATATATTTATCGCTAACAACTACGCTGTTTGCCCTTTTTTTGAAGACCTTCCTTCATAATATAGAGACACAGAGCCCATAGTCTAATGTTATATTAACTTCTAAATCTTGGAAGCCTCTTTGAAGCTTTCAACACGTCACAGATGTCAAGTGATGAAATTTGTACAGAAAAAGTATCACTCTACTCAAATTTATAAATTATTTTCCAGGCAAAAATCAAGCAAAATGCAGTAACAAGGAAAAAATGTAACGCATTTTTCTCAAAATATAGAAGAAACCACCACTGGAAAATTTCCTACCTCTTTATTTCCTTAAGACAAACTTTAAGAGCTTGTTCTGACATACTGGATGATCTAATCTTTTTTTCCAGCATGACAACATCATCATGATCTCCTTCTTCATCCTCATCTTCTGTAGCATTTGGAATGTGATTGATTCTTCTAGTAGGGCGAATAGCTACGACCTATAACACAGAAAACCAAGCCACAGAATAGCGCCAGTTTCTTTTTTGTTTGTTTTTTAAAATAAGATGTACACTTGACTTTGGACAGAAACCATGAGAAAAACATGCAAGGTGCTCCTTTGCAGAAAAAGTCAGATAAAAAGATTATAATCTAAAACTTTATAAACAAAATTAAGAATTATTCACAGTACTTTAAAAGGCTTGAAACTAGAGCCTATCATATTAAACAGGGTAAACAAAATATTTTAAAGAGTAACTTTTCTTTTTTTAATTCTTGATTATTTCTTTAGTAAACATGCAACATGAGGCTAGGCTGCTAGAGTTTAACAGACTACACATTTCACAATACACATTTTTTTAGGTGTTATTTCAAAAGCTGTCATATGCTTGCAGCACCATTAGTAAAAGGTACATCTTTCACTTCTGTATTCTGCACAGGCCAAAATCCAGTCTGCACACAGAGTGCAGCTAAAGTAGGAAATGATTCATTAAAAGCATATGAGCTTTTATCCCCCCCCCCCCAAAAAAAAAAAAGATTAATAAGTGTAATGCCTATACAGTTTAGATATGTGAATCATCAAAGTTGTTGACTAGGTGTTCTCTCCAGCTCCAGATAGACTATGAAACCTTAAGACTGCAGATTACACAGACTAAAATCACGCACATTTATTGGTCTGTTTAAAAACACGCCTTTATACTGGTTTAGAATATTTAAGAATCCCACATTTAAAGGACCGTACCCTTTTATCATCATCCTGTTTGGGCTTTCTTGTTTTCTGAAGCAGCTTCAGGCCTTCAATTTGTCTAACAAGCAACGGTATAGTCATCTTGAACCGTTCTTCGAGCCTAACAGCATCTAAAATCTAAGAGCAAGTTGTTATGAGTAGCCAGCATTTTCAGGCTAATAGCTCATCAGTTTTGGAAAGGCAGAGAGTTCTGTTACTACATTTTGACAAGAGCTATAGAATAGATGGTTTGCAAAAAAAGTGGCACACAGAAAAAAACCTCAAGTTACGATACTACTTCAGAATTTGTACACCTGTTGCCAAATCAAACCAAAAATTGCACAACTGCAATCTACCAAGTAAACAGGGAAAATAATTTATAAACAAGAAAACAAAAACTTTCGAAGTGATATGAGAGCACAGGTTCTCATCAATTGTATGTTGACAGTCTCCTATCAGCAAACAAGAAACACAGTATGTTACATTTACTCCAGAAAAATCATTTAATGAATCGCAAGATTTTTCCCTCGTCCAGGGAGATTATGCAAAACTTAAAGATTAGATACTCTTGATTTGTAAGCCTGAATATACTTTGAAAAGTAGCAGGAAATTTGGATTTCAACACTACAAACTACCCCAAAAGTATGGGGCATCAGTCACTATTTTATTCCCCAGTTATTAAACCTCAGAGAAGAGAGAGAAGAGGTAGTTGTACTTTATTCCACTTGCATGGTTAACGATACTGAAACATGGAAATGGGTAGAATCCGTCTGCCTGTATTTCCACAGTTTCCATTGGCTGCTCTCTTCTTCATCACTTCACACTGGACATGCTAAGTTTGCTTTTTAGATGATTTTTAGGTGAATGATGTACCTTTTTCCAGAATGAGATTCACCTCCAAAACACACCTTCACTTAGAATTACCGCATTCATTTCTATTTGGTGTATTTTGAAAGAACTTAAGTTATATTTTCAATTTGAGTGTGGAGCATGGGCAGCAGCAACAACAAAAAAAACCCACTAAAACTTCCAAGCACAGTAAATGAATATAGAAATCAGACAAGTAAGCAGCAAACCACAAACATAATCTTACCATATAACCTTATTCTGACATAAGATGTATATAAAACTACAGTGCCGTTATGTTAAAAAAGAAAAAATAAAACAAACTATTTTTAAAAAGGTTTTTTTAAGATGAAAATATAAGTGATTTGGGAGCTGATTCACGAGCTTATCCAAGTATTCTTGAATAAGCAAGAGATCATTATAACTTGAAGGAAGATTTATCAATTTCTTCACCACAGAAAAGGGAAATCAGTATGATATTTTTATTACGTTATAAAATAAAGAGATTCTAACACTAACTAGACTCATTTTACTAAAATGTGAACTCTTCTACTTACAGATAAATATCTATGATTTTCAAACAATAGGATGAAAGCTTTTTAAAAGAACACATACTTACATGTAACACAAGCAAAGCATTAGCGCTGTACGATCTCAAATATAAAAAAACTCTAAATTATCGAAGAACTGATTTAACTGTAAATAGCAAACATTTTATTCCTCTTACAAAGTTCAAGAACATAATACCTGAAGCTTCTCTTGGTTAGATGTACGAATGATAGAAGTCAGTATATCTGGCAAAGCTTCTCTAGGCAGATTGTCCAAAAGACGTCTCAGTTTTGCAACGGCAGGAACAGACATGTCTAGCATCTCAACCAGCTGTGGGGAACACAGACTGAAAGATAGTCACTGTTGTTGATGTTTCCTTTAAAATTATTTAAACAAGCATTCGAAAGAGAAAGAATTGCACCTTTCAATATAAAAATGTCTAGGTAATTTACTAAAGAGTTACTGAAATGCAAAATCTGAAATGGAAAAAAATCCACACAAATCTGCCCAAAGCAAACATATGGACACAAAGGAAACAAACACATGCGTAAGAATTAAGTAATTCACCTGCACTGCATACTTGTAGAACTGTTCTGACAACTCTTCGAGTTCTTCCTCTGATTTATTATGCTGATTAGTGAACTGCTCCAGTCGATCCAACTGCTCGACCTCGGCCACGGGATAGGGCTTCTCCTTGAGCAGCTGCAGTATCTGGAAGCGGCACAGGCCGGTGACCAGCAGTGTGTAGTGTGGTTTGGGCCAGTTGCTGCCCACCACCTGAACGGCCAAGGCAGCGGTGCCGATCCTAGAAACAAGTCAAATCCGTGTGTGCGACCTTTAATGGCGGATCTTGTGTTCCCCTTAACAAGGAGCAACAGAGCTACAGATTGCACTGACTTCCTTCAACATTTAAAACCCTACGAATAAAAGTAGTCACATTCTGCAATACATCTTGACAAATATCGACCATAAAACGTCAAAAATAACGAGCAGACTGTTGAAAAAAGCAAAATAACATCACCAGACACCTATTTGGCAAGCGCAATTTGGATTAGTAACCGACTTCGCTGCGGATTAGCCGTTTAACCGAACGGGCTGCCCGCGGGGCGGGGGCGGCCGGGCGCACCTGTGCAGCGAGGGCAGCTCCTCGGAATCCGACGTCGGATCGCTCGTGTTGGGGATGACGCCAATGATGGTGCTGCGCAGCGAGGTGCCCTTGAGCAGGCGGCTGCGCACCAGCTGCATGTTGCGCGGCGAGTCCACGCTGGTGCGCATGTTGGAGCCGGGCAGCAGGACGCCCTCGTGGGTGAGCAGCAGCGGCA